AGCAGGTTATTAACTAAAACTTAAATATTTAGACAAATAAATTTATTGTGTTTATCCGCGTATTAATACGGATCCTAATCTAGTACCGTGGAGAAAAAAAGAAAAAAGATGTATGGTCCCTTTTTCTTATTGATTTTTTTTTTTTAGACAGTCAATATCTGAAAGTGTAACCAAAACGAAAGTGGTCCTGGTCGCCACATGTTTTTGATATGTTGGTTACAAATTTACAATTAGGAATGATGTTAATTGGTATTGATTCTATTAAATATCCAAAAACTATACTGGCAAATGGAGAGAGTTTTTCTTTATCTACCTAATGTTGTCTTTCATTGGCTTGTTGTAAAATTTGTCTCTTCTAGGATTTTTGGTATTTAATTGAAAAAAAAAAGTTACTCCTAGGAGTCTAAATATTTTGAAAATTGTTAAAATAATTCACTCTCAAGGTTTTGTTGTAAGGCCTAAAACATTTGGTTTAGTCCTCGAGCTTGGTTTTAGAGGTTAGTCTTAGTTTGCGACTTTAATTCTTTTAATTTGATCTTATCACTAGACCATCCTTTGAGACAATGAATTCACCTCCAACCAGAGGTTTATTAATCGAAAAATTTGCCATTTTTATTACCGTCTTAAATTCCTCATGATGAAATATACATGAAGATAATAAACTTCCCGAACTCAAAGTGAATTTATAATTTTTTTATTAATTTACTACAATTTTATGATACGACTTTTCAATTCTGTAATTTTTTTTTTTGGTCTGTTGTAAACTTATGTCTCTTCCATGATTTTCTTTTATCCATTTTTTAGAGGAATAAGTCTGAATATTTTGAAAATTGTTAAAGAGTAGTACAATTTAAGGTTTTTAATTAACTTGGTTTTCTTGGTTAGTTTTAAGGGTAAATTAGCTCAATATTATGTTTTGGGTAAAGAATTAAGAAACTAATCTATCTTATTATATAAAGGAGAATACGCGCGATGAGAGTTTGACATGTAGGCAAAATTCTTAAGCACCAGATCACGATATGTGGCTATCATTCATCAGATGATGACATCTGTCAATATATTTTAATATCCTAATTTTATTGAAAAGCCAAAAAAATTAAAAAAGGAAAATATCTTAATACCAAAACCTTTGAAAAAATATTCCTGTAACGTTACTTAGAAAAAAATAAAATATCTTAAAACCAAAACCTTTAAAAAATTATTCCTATAATGTTACTAACAAAAAAAACTTATTACATAAAACTTCCAAAAACTCAAACTAAAACAAGAGAAAAACTTCCAAAAACTCAAACTAAAACAAGAAAAAAGGGCAACAACCTAGATTAGTTTAATTTTCATTGTTTATTTTAAAATCAAAACCTTTTAAAAAATATTCCTATAACGTTACTTACAAAAAAAAACTTATATTTATTATATAAAACTTCCAAAAACTCAAACTAAAACAAGAAAAAAGGGCAACAACCTAGATTAGTTTAATTTTCATTGTTTATTTTAAAATCAAAACCTTTTAAAAAATATTCCTATAACGTTACTTACAAAAAAAAACTTATATTATATAAAACTTCCAAAAACTCAAACTAAAACAAGAGAAAAAGGCAATAACCTAGATTAGTTTAATTTCCACTGTTTATAATATAAAAAAATATGGGAAAACAAAGAAAAAAGGAAACGAAAAATGGGCCAACAAAAGGTTACACCAGAAAAATTATAAACCGCAAGTGACTAAAAAAACTATTATGTTTGTTCAAAAAAGTCATTAATTGAAAAAAAGGAAAAAGAAAAAGTTATTAAAGGAAAGTCAAAAAATTTCTTAACATTTAAACAATAAATTTCAATTACACTAAACGAAAAATAGAAAAATTACAAAACGCAAGTAACAAATGCAATGAGAACGCGACACGTAAGCAAAATTTTTATTCACTATATCGTGACATGTGTCTAATACTAATTAGATGATAACATGTGTTAACACTTAATATTGGTTAACAATATATGAAAACAAAAATAGAAAACAAACAAAATAATTCTCAAGTCTCTAACCAAATAGTAAAATAGTAAACTTTCTTATTGTTCAAACTAATGATAAAAAAATAAAAATTTCTAATAATCCACGTTAGCTATATTAAAAAAGATAGTTTAAACTAATCTTATTATATAAAGGAGGGTGTGCATGGTGAAAACGCAACACGTAAGCAAAACTGTAACTCACCATATCGTGACATGTGTTTACTATTGATCAGATGATGATATGTGTTAATACTTAACTTAATTAAACATATATAAAAATAAAATAGAAAACAAACAAAATAATTGTAAAGTAACTAACCAAATAGTAAAGAAGAAAATTTTCTTATTGTTCAAATTAGTTATAAAGAAAGAAAATTTATAATAGTCTACACTAACAATATTAAAAGAAATCTAATAGTTTAAACTGATTATTAAATTCAATTAAGAAAGAAAATAGAGAGACTGTAAACACACAAAAAAAAGTAAAGAGAAAAAATCAAGTATTATCAACGAGAGTATAATTACGAAAAATTATAATTCACCAAATCATAACATGTGTTCAATATTGATCACATGATGAAATGTGTTAATACTTAAACTTAGTGAAGAAAACCTAAAATTAAAAATGGAAAACGAACAAAATATTTCTCAAAACAACTAACCAAATAGTAAAAAAGAAAATTTATAATAATCCCAAATAGCTGGTAAAAATCATTAAAATAGTTTAAATACATTATAAAATAAAATTAGGAAAGAAAATAGAGAGACTATAAACAACAACAAAAAAATATAAAAACAAAGAAGAAATATAAAT